GGGGGGATTGGGATAAATAATAGTATAATTCGTGTAAAGATTATGGAATTAGAGAATTTAGTGTTACTACGGTAACACCAGCAAAAAAATGAATTCGTTTTTGTTAAGTCAAATGAATTAATGATTCTGGTAATTTAGAATATTCCTAACGCGAAATCACTAATTCTCCAAGGTAGTGAATAAAGCTCTGTTCGGGTCGGGTTTGACCCGAAAATCGTAAAATAGTTTTTCGTTAATACGTTTATTTTTACTAAGACACTTGGATTTTGTGTCCTAAATAGAGTTGTTCGGAATGTGATTGTGTACATATCCACAAATTTTCGTTTAATTTCAATTAATATTGAACGATAAACAACGATTTTTAGGCTGACCCGACCCGACCCGAAATGTGCGTTCCGGGTCGGGTCACTGATTGGACCCGACCTGGTTGGAGCACTATCTGTTTTCACTAGTAGTGAAAACAGATTCGAAAATATTATTGTTGGTTAGTTTATGACAAAAGAGAACAATTGTAGGACCAAGCGGATGTGGGTAAATAAATTCGTGATTATTTTTCCTCAGTCTGAAAATATATATTGACAAACCATATATAATTCGTGAGTATTATAAAATGAATTTAGTTAGCTAGCTATGTACAATACGGCTTTTGCAATTTATTAACAAATTCATCTATCAATGCGTGTTTCAATTGAACAAGGTTTATTAGATAATGAACCTACTGAGAATGAGTTCGAAGGTACTATATAAGAAACATTAACAGAACATACTGCAAGATCAACAAACAAGTACGAAAGCAATGGTTCAGCTTCAATAACTTTATGTGAAACTTCTTGGATCTGGGAATTTATTTTCAAGAAATTTAATGATAAAAATAAAGTTACAAATTTATCGTTTGCTCAATTTGCAAAGCTCATTACAAATCTTTAAATATTCCAGGTACACTTATCAATATATGCATAAAAAACATAATGGTGACATCAATAATTTGCCAAATATTACAGATAAATATAAAAGCAAGCCATATTTAAAAACAGACAAACAATACCAATATCTTACAAATATAATTGTAGATTTTATTATTTACTGTCAACTTCTCTTGCAATTTTGCTACCATATTAAATGCATTCAATGAACATTATCAAGTATCTTGTCATCAAACTATAAAAAATAAAATAATGAATTGCTAAAATATTAAGAACTTGAAAAAACTAAAATATATCAATTACATGTAATAGTTGGACTTCAATTACTATGTAATCATATCTTGAAGAGTGAATGTTATATTACTTTTTGCTTTATTTTCATATTTTTATGAATAATATACTGTTATACATATTCAACAAATTATTATGCAAGTATTAAAAAGATTAAATTGCTAAAAAGTTATCAGGAATTATGATGAATAATACTATATTCGTGATAGCTGCAGCTCAAGGCTTAAAGTAAAGCTGAAAAATACTGAATTTATGCATTAACATTGTACGGCATATATATTATACAACATGAATTACAATTAGCAATATCTACTATATGAAAGTATGTGTATTTGTAGTAAAGATATGTCAATCAACAAAGTTATGTGATTTATTAAGAACAATATGCAAATTGAAAGTACATGGACTACTAAAATAGAACCTAATTTAGGTGTTGATACTTGATGGAATAGTACTTATTTAATATTAAAAAATTTTATTACATGCACAATATCTATATATTCTCATTGCTAAAAATTAGAATCTTACTATTATTTATAAGAAAATAATTGGTTAAAGATTAATATGGTTCAACTACTCAAACCAATTTTTATTACAACTAAAGTGTTATCATCTTTTATATATATATATATATATCCTACAATAAGTCATATAAGCTTAACTATTATTGGTTTGCTTCAGCATTTGGAATCTTTTATTCAATATCATGTTGATTTAAAAGAGTATATAATAGCAAATTCAATTAATTTAAACTAAAAGAATATTAGAACTATATAAAGATTTAATAACAATTAGCACTTTATTAGATCCACATTCAAAACTAAAACTTTTGTAAATATTAATCAACACAATAAGGCTATAATATTATTGCAAAAATTAATGACATTTTATAAAAATAACACTACTAAGCCAAAATGCAATAATAATTCATGCAAATTTACAATTACAAGACAACAAACGATTTTTTGGATCATTTCTTATAGAGAAAATTGCCAAAGAAACATCCGCTGAAGGTGAAATTGCTCGATACATTGCAACACCAATTGACTCTGACTCAGATCTGTGACACCACTTTAAGGAAGATTTTCCAGTTCTTGCAAATAGAGCATCCTGTTATTTAAGTATACAATGTTCAAGTGTACTCTCAGAACAGATATTTTATGGTAGAAAATGCAATAACCAAAATTCGATGCAACTTAAAACCAGATACAGCACGTGCAGTAATTTGTTTAAAAAGCAAATACGTGACAAAAATATAAACGAAATAGATATTGAAGCTTCTATTTTTTTAGAATCATAAATTATGAATTTTTTATATTTTTTATTTTTTGAAATACGAGTATGAAGCTTTTTTTTTTAGATCATAAATTTATTTTTTCTCAGAATTATAAATTTTTTATTTTTGAAATTCGAGTATGAAACTTGTTTATTAATAAAAGTATTTTATATCCAATCAAATTTATTACATGTGACCTTATAAATGCTCTAGAGTAGCTGGAGCAGTATTGGAGAAACCCGTAACAATGAACCCGGAGCAGGTTCAATTTGATTGACCCCTTGCTCCACTATAATATGAACCCAATTCACTCCACTCCACTCCATTAACAACCCTATTATCCAGTGATCTAATCTGGCTATGCAAAATTCAATTTTAGATGAATATTTGATTCGAATTATCCTAATTCTATTGGATGCATTTCGAATTTCTTTTGGTATGCAGTCCATTCGAATTTGGAATTGGATTCGAATTTATTATACCGTATTTTACCGCCACCCACCCAGAACATTTAACCTTCAAATTTATTAGTTTAGTAACGTAAATCCTTGATGAAATTACACTGAAAAAAATTGTTCTAAATACGTAAGGAGTTTAATGTTTTATGGAGAGAGTATTTTGTTTGAGAATGCATTCTAATCTCGAATTTATTCAATAAAAATATCTTTCGTTGTATAACGGGTAATCTTTTCGTGATTGATACAGTGCAAGACTTAAAGTCCGGGGTCAAAATGTCGACTTTTGAAAAAATTACGTGAATTAGTCTCTAAATGTATCAGCGTAACGTAATCCACGTGACTTATGATTGACCTATCAAAACTCTAAATCTCTGAAATGCAATTTGATCGATCGATCACATGTCACGTTTTGTCATCATATAAGTACAAGCAGGGTATTTTTAGAAAAAGTCCGCTGAGTTGTAATAAATTGGATTAACTACGAATTGGCGGTCTCCTTTTCTTGTATGATGTGCTGTTAGCTTTTAAAGATCGTTAATTTTATTTCAGTCTTTTAAGTGTCCTACACTATATCAATGCGTCGTATAATAAGATTCGATGCATTTTGTTCGGTCAAATGCATCACTCGTAGCTTTAGTGATATCATTTTGTCCTTCAAATCGGGTTGTTGTGCACGTGTCATCATGTGAACAGTCTAAATACTTGCACCATGATCATGTGCATGGTGACTTTCATTATGATATACGTACGTAGAATTTTGATGCTACGGTTAATGTTCACAGTGCAAGTCGATACATGTACATGTATAATGAACTCTCTTTAGAAAATTCAAACCTTAATTTTTTTAGTAAAACTGATTATTTTTCGCAAAATAAATAAATTAAAAACTTTAGTTACTAAATTAATGAACTTGAGGTAAAGTTAAGGTTTAAATTTTGTAAAGAGAATTCGTTATATCGACTTGCACTGTGTACATGTATCAAGTTGCAATGATGCAAGAAATTTAATGACTGTTATGAAACACGCTTGAACTCAAAACTCTTTGAAGCTATGCTTTTTTTGAAAAGAAATGTTAAGTTTGTAGGTACCACATTTTCTGATGGCATTAATTGATAACACTTTTTTCTATACACCGAAATTAATGATTCAATTTTATTGCAAGCATTTTATTTTATATGCATTGAAACTGATTATATGATATATGTATTAATATATTAAAAACCGACGGATTTCACCGAGAGTTTTACCCGGAGTTTTATCAAAACTTAACCGTTTTGAACGGTTTAAATCAACAGTTCACCGGGTCGACTTGGGTTGGAACGCTATCTAACTGAAAAATGATGTCATCCTAAATTACGGAATTAGTTCTCACATAAACGTTTATTCGTTAGGGTCAGTGACCAAAGTAGATCCAAGGTGATGTCCTTCATCTCTTTTTGTATTTGTAGGATCGTGGAACACTACGCAATAGTATGTTTTTGTGACCGTGAAAAAATCGGCGGGAAAAAGACTTCCAGGTAATGTGTTGGAAAAAGGCTCATTAACTCTGTTTGGATCGGAAGGTGTAGTGATATGCTCTTCTAGATTGAGGAAGGAAGGTTCAGCATGATCAGAGGTGTTGGTAATATGGATCTTGTAGTGTGTAAGAAGAGTATCATAACCGGTCGCATCGGGGTAATGAACTGTAGATAAAATTCCTTGGGCAATCACAATGCAACCGACTTCTTGTTGGAAATCAATTCGACCTTCGATTTGTTAGCTTGAATTACCCTTTACTGGTACAAATATGCAGGAGCGGGTTATCTGTTCGCATGCTCTCTTTTCAATCCCCTTAGGCATGACATTGGCCGATGAAAAGAAGACAAAGATAAAGAAGGTCAGAGTAACCAAAAAAAATATGGGAGAGCTTTGTTTGTTCATTTCGTTGCTTAGCGTTAAATTAAATATGTAGCCTTTATTGGTTTTTGAGTGTGAAATTTATTTTTTATAGAGAATGTTTCGGGTTTATTCACACAACAAAATAATACAAACTGACTTTTCTAATAATGCCTAAATAGAATATTGTTTGACGTTAATATGTAAATCTACGTCCATTCCATACCGATACATATCGATATCGCGTAAGTGAATTTACAATAATGGTCATCGTTATGCAGAACTTGCTGTAACGATAATATGCAAGTGAAATAGTATTGTTCTGTTAGTATGCATTTTTAGTGCATACAATTCTGCACTAAAAAAATGTACAGTACATGTAATTATGAGTAAATAATGTGCAGCGACATCAAGTTTATTAAGCTAGTACGTATACGTAAAAATAAAGCATACCGATATTTATTTCTTCAATTTAGGAGAATTGCACAACTGAAATTGGAAGCCTCAAGTATAACGACAAGATTAGAAAGTGCAATACTCATTAGAAGCATGTATTAGTGCGTGAAATATAAATGATCTAATTCGCTACCAAAAAAGCAACAAGGCGATGATTCGAGATAAAATTACAACAAAAGAAATGTAGAATTTAATTGAGTTGGAGAATCAAAAAAATTTCAATTTTACAGGACAACGTAATTTCATTCTTGATTTTACATATATAAATGTATCACTAAAAGAACATAACGATAGCAATAATCAAGATACGCAATAACTTCAACCAATAATCTTTTCACTAGACTAAGAAATCTTGAATTTGCTCTGCTGATGCTCATATTGTGGTGTTCTAGTTCGATGTGATTTGTGATTCGCGTAGTCAGTTTTGAATTCTACATACAATTCTCAAAACGCTATTGTAATTATAATTTAAACGAGGGTTATTCAAAAAGGTCCATTAATTTGTACCATGGTGGCGACGGTTGATTTTATTATGGTTGTGGTAGAATCTATTATTGTTACAATTTAATGATATTACAAGCTTTAATAGTATCGATTTTGCTTTTATCAGACTTTTTCCTTGAAATATTTCTTAATAAGATCAAGGTGGACTTTATCATTGTAATTGTAATGTTTATATCGAGTGTTTTGTCATATTCAGCTGTTGTAAACTTCTTTTTCGTCTCCTTTTACTCTATTTTCTGTTTGTGTGAATACAAAAGCTTAACATTCAGTGGATAATTTTTTCCGAGTGCAAAAATAATACATATATCAATTTTCATACTTTACTGGCGACTTGACGGATACAGCCAAAACTCGATATAACGATGACAATTAAAATCTCAATATCATGAAGGCACCCAAAAAAACACTTCTAATTGGATTTTTTCGATATAAATTTATAATAAATTCTCAATACATGCATAATGAAATTTGTATAATTTTTTTACTAATTTCGTTGTATCGAGTTTGGATTGTACAATTCAAATCGAATGTAAATTATGGTCCGGTGCAAAAATGTTGATACACGAAAAATGAAAGTTAATAATTACTTCTAATAGAAGTCATACAATATATAATTAATATTTATAATTTTTTTATATTAAGTAAAGTATATCTTAATATACAGTGGCAATCAGAAATAATGCAATGACGTCAAAATTTACTAATTAAACATAGTAAAATGCATATTTTTCTCTTTATATAAAAGTTTTCAATTTTACTAATAAATA